TTTAACATTGTAAAGCTTCTTTAACTTAAATTAAATATAACTTTGATCTTTTGAAGCAAAAAATTAAAATACAAAGGCTGCAAAAAACATTTGTTCTTGTTTGTTTTTACGAAACTTGGGAACATAACTGAGTGAGGGATATAGCTGGGTTGGGATATAAACAGAGTATGGCTATTTCATCCTATACTATCAATTCATATTTACGTGTCTGGTTTTTCTAGATATTCCTATCAGATTAGACGTTATGCTTGTTGACGATAGGATGCAAGAAGAGAAAAAGTTAGTATGAATGACTTTTTATGAATATGCGTTTCGCATCATTTTTACATTTATTTATATTCTTTTTTCAAAATTAGAATACAAACTATTGACGATTTACTACCTCCGAACGAAAAGGTAGATAAAGCAAAGAATATGCTGAAACTGTATGAGGAAGAGCGTAAAATTCAAGAAACCAATTCGGTCACTGTAAAAGCGGAGGTATAGTGTTATAATTTGATATTTATGTTATGCGCATCATGTTCTAATGACACATATGTAACATTCTCTCTTCTAGCATACGTTAATAAATGAAACAAACATTATCACCAACTTAATTTTCTCAGACGACGACGACACCGATCGTTTATTCCTCAGCTCAATGTTGAGTCACGACAATAATTCAAGTTATTGGAAAGTTGAGGTTGAAAATAGGGTGCAAGAATTGGATACGAAATTAAAAAAGATTGAACGAAAGTTGGACGACATGAGGTTGCGAGATCAAAGGTAAGTATTGTGGTTTATCCTTTCTGTTACTTGTATAGCTAAAAACCATATAAAAATAACTTTGTGTGCTTGTCGCAATGTAGGCTGCTGAGTGAAGCGGAAAAAATGTCTGCGCAGATTGACGAAATATTGGCTGCTAGCCATGTCGATCGTGATAATCAGGACCACCTTTATACTGTATGTACGACTTGTATGATTTGTACGTCTACTTTCGTTATAAGGCATAGTACATTTTATATAACAATTTTGTATAGTTGAAGGTTCTCGAGGATGAAATACAACTTTTGAATTCCAAGTCAATATTATGGGACATATTCTATATAATGTTGTCGTATGTACTAGCGGGTAAGTCTGCATATACTAAAATCGTGTTATTTTTCTATTTCAATAACTCACGCATGATACATTTTCAGGTGTAATGCTCATTGTTTGGTTTGCAGTTCATTGTTTCAAATCGATTAGATCAATATTCTTACTTCCAAGGACAATATTCAGAACAACAGTGTATCGTCTCACGCGTTGTTGAATGTATTGTATTGTCAAACCTAATTGTAATATATTCTAACCGTAATCGACAATTTTCCGGAGATAAATCACTTAGAATAGGGACTTGCAATGCGTAATTTTTGGAAATCGGAATAATTTATCCTGATGTAAATAAACTATGATTTCTGTTTAATTTAAAGCACAATACGAATTGTACAATGTTATTCTCAAAAGACACATATTCTTTGCCACACACATTCCTTGCCACACACACATCTTGCCACACACACATTCCTTGCCACACACACATTCCTTGCCACAATGCCGCGTTTATTTTTCTGATCATTTAGACTTATATTCATCATAAATATCCCCCCTCCCCTCTGACAAAGCATAGTTTCATTATGATACTGACCCAAATCAAGAGTAAACGATATAACGGATTTCGCTTAATACGGATCTTTCTCTTGGAACCAGAGTTTTACTAATTAAATATAGCGGATTTTACTGGTAAATTGTTGTTCAATACGATATCGAGACAGCAGCGGGGACCCCTCTATATGAGAGAATAAAACAAAGATTTTAGTTCTTGTTGGTATTAATTATAAGATGACTATACGATAGACGAGAGGTTGGTAATATACCAGGAAAACGAATGTGTAAGTGCGGAACATGTGCTGAGTAACCCTTTAGCTATAACCACAAATTATGTTGTTCGCTCTGACGGAATTTGGTGTCATCTCCGTCGAAAAAATCAAAGGCGCGTGTTGTTTTTGTGTGCGTTACATGATTCGGGGAGTACATGAGAAGAGAATAATATAGTATGGAGAGGTTATATGAAGGTGCGTCGACGTTTCTAGAGACACAGAGCTTTTACAGTCCTTATAATATTTTCCACTCTTGCAGGATGTCACGGCGTATATTATAATGTGATGGGGGGCTTATAAACTGCTCGATCATCTCGAGTCTCGTGTCAAGGTCCGTCGCCAGCGACGTCACATCATCTACCCCCTTAACTCTTACGTTCTCATATTTCCTCGCCTGTGCTTAACGGTACCCGTTTCTTGAGACTATGCTCGACAGGCCCCCTTGAACGATAAACGATCGAGTACATAAAACGAAGCCGTGCCCAGATTTAGAGCCTAGTCAATTGACAATAATGCGTAAGTACTTATAAAATTAAACTTACATTGTTTTAAGGATTTTCTTTGTGAGAGCTTTCTCGACATCTCTTTTATGTACGCCAAAAACCTCAATAACTTGACCGGCGTGAACAAAAGAAAGTACGTATGGTACAAATTATCTAAAATCGCCATGCGTTTTGATCAGTTTATAATCAATGTTTTATTATCAGATGCTTTAAATTTCGAATAAAGTAAAACTCGACATATATTAATGATGCAGATTGAGCAGTACGTACTTATTTACATAAGTCGTTCGTAATTCATCCATGCATCTTCGGAGATTTTTTTGTATTGATAAAATTGAGAACTTGCTTGCTTCGCATTTATTGTATAACTATTCATTTTCTGGTTGATTATTAAAAAGCTGAACTGTATTTTTTGTTCTCGTTGTACCATGTTAATATAACAAAGAAAGTACGCGTAAACAAAAGTAAGTACGCATACGTGTAAATAAAACGTATTGTTTACTAGATATGGAACTGATCATATTATTATGGGTGGTGCATTCGGGGTGGGGTATTATACTGTACAACGCATGCATTATGTCATGGTAATAGATGAGAATGGTATATCAACGTCACTTACAAACAGTAGCGACACAAATTTAAAGTAAGAGCATCATGTTGGATGATGAAATAGTTGATGAAAATAAGAAGTTTAATGTGCGTAATGTGTTGACGCTACGGCAGGAATGCATAAAAGCGTTCGTATGATACTAGATCTTCTGTTAATGTTAGTAACATCTACCAATACATGACATATTTTAATATGCTATGACAGAATCTCATTAGGACATGCAAACATTGCTTTCATGACGACAATTCTCTTTTATTTCTATGCGTACCGAAGACCATGGAATAATTTTCTGAACGAGAATTTATTAGAACAAATGTATCGCAACCTTTGTATTTTAATTTTTTGCTTCAAAAGATCAAAGTTATATTTAATTTAAGTTAAAGAAGCTTTACAATGTTAAA